TCACTGCAAGTAAGTTGGCATAATCTGATCTCAATTTTAAACCGTTGAAGAAGCTGGTTTTTTTTTAAATTTTATTTACTAGATATACTGGTAACAACCCGTTCATAGCCTTATACATAGTCACACAAATCTTATAGTTGATTCTTTTTTTCACTGTTAGCCAATGTAGGTCTCTTAAAATAGGTGTCACATGGTCATACCTTCTACGTCTAACAGTTATTTTTGCAGCTCTATTCTGTATCGATTGAAGAAAAGCAATAGATCTCTCTGAGATCTATTGCTTACCATCCATGGAACAAGCTATTACAGTAGTCTGACTACGAATGAACAAACGCATGAATTAGTGTCTGCAGGTTTTTTGATGTAAAGATTTTCGAACGCGGTATAACTTGCAAAGCTGATAAGAACATGATTTAGATATGGTTTTTATATGTTCCTTGAAAGGTAATCTCGAGTCAAAAATACATCCTAGGTTTGTTGCATTTTCACAGAATTGTATTTCATTATTATCAATTTTGACTGACCTAGCTAATCTAGAAGTTTTGTTATTACATGCTCGAGTTATCGGTATGTCAACATGTATCAAGTTATGATCTGAGTAAACTCCACAAGGGAATAACCTGATATTTGTAACTTCAAAATTGTGTGAAGCAACTACTAAATCAAGTGTACCACTGAGAACATGTTTTGACTCATCGATGTAATTTGTTAATTGGAACAATTCAAACACTTCAATCAGATTAACGGTATGTAGATCTTTGTTTATTGCAACGTGTATGTTAAAATCACCAACTAACATAACATTCAAACTTAAGATTGTAATATTTTCCAAAACACATATCAGTTCATCGAAAAATGTAGAAGTGACTTGAGCCGAACCTGGTCGATATAACGCCAATAAAACAAACTCTTTATTGTTTATGATCATTTTAATAGCTACAGCCTCGAACGTTGTTAGAACAGGTAGTTCAATTAATTTATATTTAAAGTTTGATCTAAAAACTACAATTATTCCTCCATGCCGCGGATTATTTAGGCTAAGAAAATGAACATAACGATATCATGATGGTATAGATGATTTTACTGAAATATTGTCCGTTGAACCATGCCATGTTTCCACTAAAACAAAGATATCCAAACCCTCTTGGATAAATTCATAAATAATATCAGACTAATATCAGACAGATCTTATATTAAGTAGGCCAAGCAAAATGTTGCACTTATTTTTTGTTGCATCTGTAGCCAAATCTTTAATTACTTTATTTTTACTGAGACAATTGTTTAAGTGAACTTTTTTGAAACTGTAGTATCTTCCATCTTCCAACTGGTCCTCTGACACGGTATACAAAATTCTCTTTATCATCAGATTGCATTGATTTAGCTTTTTCAACAAACGTTTTATACTCCTGCTTCTGTTCTTTTGTCAAATCATCACTTAGTCCAACACCGGTAAATTTATCTGCTATTGTTTTTATCTTGTAAACATTTCTCATTATTGAATTCTTAATTTTTGCATTTTCCAGCTTTACCAACAATGGTCTGACTACGTCATCGCTTTTTTTTACCTAGCCTGGTAGTTCTTAGAACATCCTTCTCTAAAATGTCTTCAACCAAATGTTGCAATATTTTCATAACATCAGTGCGATCGTTGTCGCTCTAAACTAAGCGAAAAACCATCAGGTTTGACTCTCTGTTTTTCAGCTCGTTCACTTCAATCAACACTTTCTGAACGGTTCTAACTTCATTGTTAATTATTTCAGTATTTGTTTACTTCTTTACTGACAATGCTGGCGAAGGTAATACTCATTTCTTGCTTTAAACTCTTGATGCCATGACGAATTGAAGTATCTCTGCGATCAATATCAACTATTTATCAACATTTTTAAACTGACTACATAACAACTATTTGAATATACTTACAAATTTAGTTCAAACTCAGCGAAATCTACAAGTTAAGAGACTAAGACTATATTACATTAATCTTAAATTTTTTTATAAACAAATTATCCCGTTTACAATGAAATTATTATATACAATTAAATTTATTTAAGCCAAAAATGTGGCGAGCGAAATAACCGACCATTCACAACCAATTCAAAAAATCATGTATATATATATATGTGTGTGTGTGTGTGTGTGTGGTGTGTGTGTGTGTGTGTGTGCTGGTAGAAGACCGAATTCTTGACAATATGTAATAAATTCCACCGATTTGTTAGTGTTTATCAACTTGTATTCGAATTTTTCAATTTGTCTTAGTAAATTTTTATCGACAAGATTGAGTCTGTTTAAAATTGAAGCTTTATTTTTATTAACAAACATTTTATCAAAACTATTGCAGAAAGATCTATTTCGACGTTAAACCGTCATCGTCAGTGTTGTGGAAATGGCATAGGTCGATCTAATTACAGAGTTTATTAATTTGTTAATCGGCCATGAATTTTTAATTAATAATAATTTTTAATGGAAACATTTTTTTTATTTCCATCGTAAAAACATACATGAAATGAAAGAAACAATAATTGTCAATGATAATCAAAATTAAATATATATATATATGTATATAGTAAAATGTCATGTTAAAAAAAATCAAATGTTATTATATTGTAATCAAGTAATCCGCTCATACTCATTGCGATGCAAGTGTATGTGCGTTGGGAGTATATTCAAATACCATTAGACGTTGTTTCTTTCACAGTATATTGTGTAAGATGAGCTAAGGACAATGCTTATTAAATTAAAATTAGATGGCCATGAAAATTTAAATAATGACAAATTAAATTTATTATAAACCCCAATAGGCGACATTTCAAATGAGTTCATTATTACAGAATAGTTAGATTATTCATTGTTTAAGCATGTTCGCAAGTTAATATATTTTTGGTGTTTATATTGTTTAGAAGATAAATTAGTTTCATGGCATATCGCCAATTTCAATATTTCAATCTTGTTGCCTCTCAAAATGGCAATGTCAGGGCGTAGCGTGTTGAATAGATGTGACGTTGGTTGTATGCCTTCCATCTCCAAGTCTGCGAACAAGCAGCAGTCGTTAGGAGCATGTAGCTTCAACTCATTCAAGATCAACGCTAGTATTTTATCATGTCTGGCTGTGTATCTCTTCAAAGCCGAAGTTGATCCACAATTTGATACGACGTGCTTATTTGTTTGACGAACATTACAAAGTGGGCACAACGGCATAGTAGTTTAGCCTCACTTAAACAGATTTGATTTTGTAGGAAGTTGTTGAATAATGTATTTCCTTGCAAATCTGTAGAGTACCTCGGACATGTTTTCAACAGTTTTTGACCAACCTGTTATTTGTGCAGGAGCAATGAGTTCGCCAATTGACTTGAGCACCGTACCTTGATAATGAAATTCCTTGATGTGGTTGAGACATGATTGTCCTCGGTTTTCATTCAGGAGCTTGAGAGACTGCTTCAATGAGCCTGTTTCTGTCAAGGAACTGTCTGGCTTGACAAAGTTTAAAGAGGTTTTGCGTCATAAGCAATGGACTTCTTCATTGTTGTTGTTTTTAAAATAGCTGCGAACCTTCATTTTTGTTTTTTCTGCAGCGTCTCTCAGTAACATAATGTTACCTCAGAATTTCGTAGGCAACGATAGCACTTGCAATACACATCCACTGATCGGCATGGCAAGCCAATCCCTGACTTTACTTACTATTAGGTTGTCTAAATTGGACGATATCCAGGTTGGTGAGAAGTTGTAGTTGCGAAGCTCAAACATAATTTGTGTTGGGATGAAGTAGCTTAGTATTTTGAGTTTTTGTTGTAGTTTGTTGTCCAGATCAGAGGTGGTCTCCAACAATTTGGTCAGCTTTGAGATAATTTCTTTTTTGGCCTTTGTGTCTTTCCCTTCATAGTCATACAATCTACCCAAGTAGACAAAACTGCCTCCAATTTCAATGTTGGGAATGACTTTATCATTAATTGTCAGTCATGGAGTGAACTGCTCATAAATCCCGTCTTTTTTCTCATGCCAAATGAGTTACATTTGCCTATTCTCATTTTCATGTTTGACCAATTGCACCAAATCGATTAGTTTCTGGGCTCCATTTGAACTGTGGGCAATAATCGCTGAATCGTCAGCAAATTGAAGCCAGGATTTGGCTTTTAGCCCGGAACTTGGGCCCCAAAAATAACCGCAACTAGTGTACTCTTGTGTTTCAAGGGTTTTCATCAGCGGATTGAAACATTGATTAAAGAGTAACGGAGAGCACGTATCACCCTGGAGGACACCCTTCTCGACTGGTAGTGCTGATGTTAATTTGTTATTGATGGAAACAAATATTGAGTAGTCCGAGTATATTGACATTATTATTGATTTGAATTGTTGGGGTACGTGATGAAAGGGTTTTATCGAGTTATCACGTTTTATCAAATTACCTAGTTTTATCTCTAATCTTTCATTCATTTCTAAAGTCATTGAACGAGTTGTTATCAAACAATTGTTACAGCATTTAAACAAAAACAATTTGTTGCCAAGGAATCAATCCGGCTATCGTCAATATTTTTCCACAGAAACTGCACTCATTGATATTTTCTCCCAACTGTTCTCTTTAGTTGACAGTCAATGCGTTTCTTTTTTAGCATTACTTGATATGAGTGCTGCATTTGATTGTGTCGATCATACTCGTCTCATGTATAAACTCTCCACAAATTTTTTTCTCTCTGATTCAGTCTTATCGTGGTTCGCTTCCTATCTTTTAGGCCGCACCCAGCAGGTTTCTTACAACAACACCCTCTCTGACATAAACAAGCTATCGTTTGGTGTCCCCCAGGGATCTGTGTTGGGACCTCTGTTGTTTCTTATGTACACTGCTGATGTTTTTGATATCATTCAAAAATATGAGTTCAGCTCCCACGCCTTTGCTGATGATATTCAGTTATTGGTTTCTTGTCCTGTTGATTCGATTGATGCTTCTCTGAATGAACTGATTGACTGTCTCATCGAAATTGGATCTTGGATGAGTAGGAATCAGTTAAAGTTAAATCAATCTAAAACACAAATATTACCGGTTGGTTCTTGGCAGCAGCTGTCGAAGGTCAAAATTTCATCGATCAGTGTCGGCAATGATATCATTGAATTTTCCACATCTGTCCGTAGTCTTGGAGTTATTATTGACTCAAACTTAAAGATGGATTTACATATTAATAATTTAGTGAGGGTCTGCTCCAACCAACTCCGTTTATTACGCAATGTCAAAAATCACTAAACACGTCTGTTCTTCAAAGCTTGGTTTCCTCTTTCGTCTCTACCAGACTAGACTACTGCAATGGCCTTGTTAATTGTGTCACCAAAAGGTCTGTTTCAAAGCTTCAGTCAATACAGAATCGTGCGGCCAAGCTGGTTTTGGTTGGTTCGTGGTTCGATCATGTTACGCCTATTTTGAATAGGTTGCACTGGTTGAGGGTTGAAAAACGTGTTTCCTTCAAGTTGGCAGTTTTGATGTTTAAATGTGTCAATAATACAGCACCTTCCTACCTCATCGATAGATTGGAATCATACAAATCTCATTTTTCAAAATATTCCTTCCGATCAACCGAGCGCAATTTATTTTTTATCCCGACCACAAAGTTGGTGACGAGTTCCCGCAACTTTGCGGTTCTTGGCCCGATTGTTTGGAATGGTTTACCTCCATACTTACGTGACCCTAACCTATCATATTTACAATTTCGAAGTCAACTTAAAACTTATTTATTTGCACAATGAATGTCCGTCTTATTTGTCTATGATTTAGTAGCGCTTTTGAGATTCAACAATAAAAACGCGCTGTATATAAATTTCCGTAATAATAATAATAATAATTAAGAAACGTGACATCTAATTCGCATCAAAGTTCAATTTTACAACACCAAAGTTAATTTTTACAACGTC